CGACGGGGACACGGTGGGGACTGACCTGTCATCTCGGGCGGCCTCAGGTCCTGCGGAACAGCCCCAGGATTCAGGATTCCACTCCGTGGACCCGGGACCGCCCCCGGGTGGTCCTTACATAGTGAGTAGGGTCAGCAGTCAACACCCCGTGCGACCCTACTTTTCCCCTAACGGTCTTTAGTTTCAGCTTGGAGCCACTAAGGGCGTCCTCCTCCAAATGGAGAGAAATCAAGGTAATTCCCGCCACCCCCTTCTCTCCTCACCCCGCCCCCACCGACAGCAGACAGCTGGGCCTCAGCGCAATCCGTCTACACCTGGATCAAGAGCGAGGCGTTAATTTGCGCGCTGAAGGGCTATTCAGAAGGGTCTTTGAAAAACTTTAATAGCTCTCCTAGTGAATATTTTAAAACACTACTCTGCTCGCTAGATAGCCTCGCTGGTCCACACCTTTTGGCAATCAGCAGATCCCCCTTCAGCTGTCACGGGCGGGATTTTGCTCATTTAACTTTGAGACTTTCCTGATTATCCACATAATGCACCCTCAAATCCCCACATTGTCACTGAATTTTAACGACTCCCAGGGGCTTGGAAAGCACCTATTTTTAAGGGGCAAGACTAGCGCGCAGAAAAGTCTGCAATGCGGGGAGGCGCAGCCGTCACCCCACCCACGGCAGAAAAGATCACAGCTCTCCAAACCGGGATGCAAATATTTACTTAACTTTGTAGGTAATACAAAGTCAACAGGAGCGTGTGTGTGTGTGTGTGTGTGTGTGTGTGTGTGTGTGNAGAGAGAGAGAGAGAGAGAGAGAGAGAGAGAGAGAGAGAGAGAGAGAGAGGGAGAGAGAGAGAGAGAAAATGTCAGATACCAGAACAACGATTAAATAGTTATCCAAATTTTGGCCACTTCCAAAATGCAAGCATTGGTCCATGATCTCCCCATATCTATGAAACCTCGCAGCGTTTAGTTCATTAAGGTGAGATTAGGGAGAGCGTTGTTCCATTTGAATAAATACGCTGTGAAATATAATGGCTTTCAAATCTTGCTGCGCAGTAGAATCATTTAGAGCACCTTTAAAAAATACGGATGCACCTCCCCTCTCCTCTCCAACCCCCACCGCAGACCAATTAAATATATGTCCCTGGGGGCTGGACGCATGCTTCCACATTAAAAAAATGAAAAGCTTTCCAGATAACTCTAATTTGCAGCAAGCGTTAAGAACTTCCGCTAAGGCTCTCATGAGGAAATCATTTTGCTGTGTCTATATGTAATAAGAAATGGGCTTTAGAGACAAATGGTTGGCCTTTGCAGAGCTTGGTACCAAATTTCCTTTCCAAGCAATAACTGACTACTTTCTATTTCTCATTTGGAGATACTCGGTCTCCAAAACTACAAGTCAGGTGCAATTGCTCTCTACCAGTCAAGTTTGACTACAACATATTTTTAAAAGCACAGGCAGTAGAATATAAATCATATAAATGCATTACGTCTATATGATGGAGAGTACTCATGGTAACGGTAAGAGATAGATGAGCCCACCAGATAGTACCATGATTCTTGAAATAACAGCTGTTGAAACAGGAGTGTTCTGTCCTTGTAATGATCAGATGCTTTCTCTTCTGTTTATTTTGTGATGCATTTTTGTAATATTAGGAGCTAGGAGAACATTTTTGCATATTGTCTCTATCTTCTTCCTTCCTGCTTCAACTTTTCCCCATTTCCACCCCACGGAGATGCGGTATTTCTAAGCCAAAGGTAATTACATTTTACATGCAAAGACATTTCTTTTTCCCTAAAGGATATGTGTGCATTCTCCCTGAGCTCTTAAGAATATTCTTGGAAATTGAACATTGAACAGTTTTCCTTCCCCAAATCTATTGTGTCATCAGGAATAATTATAAATGTATCACAGAAACATACTTCTTTTTGGCATATTTTAGTTTTGCATAAGAGAACAGGAACCTCAAGGTTTTCATAGAGACAGTGCTGATGGTACATATTACAAAGCTTTGAAGACAATCAAAAGAGATCAAGCAAAAGAGAAATGAAGTCTTTCTCACACTTTCTTCATTCACATATCTCTTACCACCAACTTCTGACTAAGATCTGGCTGTAGTCACTTCTAACTCTCATTTCAGCAATAGTTACTGTAGTAAATATTAGATATTCCTCAAACTTACACTCTAACATATACAATACACACCTATTTCAAAGGAAGAAATGTAAATGCATACTTAGTAAGGATGCAGTTCATTGACCATGTCATGAATCTAACCATCTTTGTATCATAGCAGAAATTTAAAATACAAATGTTAGCTAATGGGAAATAAATGATTAAAGAGGATATGAGTTGGACCATAGAAAAAAGGGGGATTACTCAGTCAATGAGACTGTAAATTTAGCAAGTCTATGAGGGATAATTTACTTAAAATGGCAAAAGTTGAAGTATTAAAACAGGGAGTAACAAGTAATGAGAAATTTAGTAGACCTTGTTCTCAATGTTGTTGGAAATTTCACTGCAATGTAAGCTTGCTCTAACTATGCAGATGATGCTAGCTTTAGAGGGGGTGGTGCAGACATGCTCACATAGGCAGGAAGCTGAAAGGGGTCCTACCTTGAAATTTCACAATGCAGAAAATGATGGGAAATGGAGGCCAAATGTCCTTTAGTCTCCCCAGTGGTTTCTGTCACTGAATATAATGCAGTGAGTGTCACCATGAAGTTACTGACTTGTCTCAAAACTCGAAGGACTTTTTCCAGGTATATATTTTCACCATTCACAAATCTTTATGAAGAAGGGAAAAGCAACTGTTTACCTGAGTCACCCAGGATCTCAGGAGCTACTGAGCAGCAGTGTGAGTGAAGGGAGCCAAGTTGCTTAACAGTCAGTCCACAGTTTCCCATTCAGCCAACTCAACAGAAAATCATTTATGGCCCGCTGATCTAGTGTGCTGAGAACTGGCTAAGGCTTTGTGGATAGAGTGGGTGAGAAGACAAGTTTCCTGTTTTTGTTTTTACATTTTGGTTGCAGGAGACTGAGATAAAGCATGTAACAAATAAGACCACGCTAGACAGTGATAAGTGTTAGGAAGAAAATAAAACTTCAACAGATAGCCATTTGGGATAGAGTGGTAGGAGCAAACCTCTCTGGGGAGGTGATATTAGACCCTCGGAGACCTGAATGGAAACGAGGCCATAAAGCCACATCCGCCTTTAGTTTCCAAAGCATTTCACCCACATACGTTCTTGTTCTTGGGTATAGAAATCCTTACACCAACCCCACAAGGTAAGCAGCATTGATACTATTTTATTTTTATTAAATATATTGGGGTGACAACTTGTTAGTAAAATTATATAGGTTTCAGGACTGATACTTTTTGTTCTCATTTTATAGGTGAGGAGCTTGATTCTCAAAGCGGCTAAGGTCTTTCTTTTCAAGTAAGGAGAGAGCCAGCATTCAGACTCACACTTCCTGGATGCTCCGCCTGGTCTTTAGACCCCCAAACTCAAAGTTTTTTCTGGACGTGGACACTGTTCACCAAATCATATTGCATTCAGAGGCCAAGTATTTAATCCCTCACCTGCAGGATGAGTTTTTTTTTTCACTTGAAATTTAGACTCTAGAAGCACAATGCTAAGTCTAGCCTGCAGCCCCTGGACCTGGGCAGAACCTGGGCCATTAGGGACCATGACTTCTTCAGCAGGTTTCAGGCTGAGCAGCAGGTCTGGTTTTTTGCAGCATCTTTACTAGTAGTTCACACTCATGAGCTGGAGGTGTGTCCAGAATTGAAACAAACTCTTCCAAGAAGATGAGAATTTCCATGGGAAGAAAGAAAAGCACCCCACTGTCACCAGGAGTCCCCCAGACAATGCACTGATCATTTCAACAATTACTTCCCAAACACCTGCATTGTGTAAGGTACTGGCATGCCAGGGCTTTCCACATGATGTAGGTAGACATGATTAAATCCCACCTGCAGAATAGGGGGATGCTAGAATACCAGCAAAACACTAGAAACCAAACAAATGTTTCCCATCACCCCATCCTGCCACTTAATTACTGAAAAAGAAGTCAGTAATGAGCAAGGAAACAAAGTCATTCAAGGGGAGAAAAAAAATCTCTCCATGTTTAGGTGCTGGGCTACTAATTGTATCTGTTTGATTTTAAAGTAGTCTCACAAATGTCTCATGACAGGAAATTTACATGTGCAGCTCATGAAAGAAGCAAAATGTGGCTTGTATTGTGATGGACATGACTCAAAGATGTCTTTCTCATTTATGAGGAATAATTTAGTTTATATCATCGATGTACCTTCCTCTGCGGAATATAAATAAACTCTATGAGAAGCAAGCTGGTCCCCAAGTAGCCTTCCAGGTTGCCAATTTAAGGAAATGAAATAACAAATGTGTGTGCACACATGCATACATGGTTACATCCACAATGCCAAGTTCTGAATATTTGTGTGTGTATGTGTATGTATACACATATATACATGTGTAGATGCACTTGTGCAACTAAACAGTTGTGAATGCAAACAGAATCTCAGCACTAGAGGTAACAAAAATAATAAAAGATAAAAAACTGAATATAGAAGTAACGTAGGTTGCCTGCTGGAGGTATAAATTAAAACCAATCTCTGAAATGTGATTCTTAATATTAGGAACCTGAAAACATTTTGCAGGAACTGAGAACAAAATCTGACAACCAAGTTTAGTGGATAGTATAGTAGTGGATGAGCAAGCCTCTTTTCTCTCCAGAATATAATAGATCTCACTGGGCCTTCAATCCTTTTAAACCGTAGAAAGAACTACAGGAAATGCCCATACTAGCAATGTACATTCCCATGGGTGAGTTAGTTCTCTCTCAGCCCCATTCAAAATATGAAATTAGGATTTGGATGGGGATGTGTATTTCAGGAAGAGAAGTATTGCAACAATAACTTGGAGCAATTTCACCGTGAAATAAATTTCATGAAAGATGGTTTTTCTATAAATGCTTGTTTTTATTAAGACAATGCAGACATAAAACACATCATATTGCCATTCCCAAATCTTAGCCATACCACTTATACCAATCAATGGCCAATAAATGACTTTCTGTGATAGATACAAATACTCCATTCAAGTTCAGTTACTAGAATAGTATCAGTATATCATGCAGACAGCTTGCATAAATACATGAGGAATCATAGCATACCCTCAATAGCTTCTGTAATGTTTAGGCACGAAAACGGTCTTATTCCAAATTTCAAAAGATGGAATAAAGAATGTTTTCATATAAAACACATTTGGAAGAGTTGGGGTTTTTTAAATTAAAAAAGGCAACTAATCAACCTGCAATACACACTTGCAATTCATCTTCTTAGTTACCAAATCAGATAGCCATGTAATATTTTTCATCTGAGGTAACTGGATGTGAACATTTCAGTGATTTCCAATATCAAAGAGCTAAATTCAAAATATTTTTTTCTGATAAGTGTAATATATTTGTAATCAAAGGAAGAAAAAATTGTCAGTCTTTGGGCACTATTTTCTATTTTATCAGATAATTGAAAGTCATTGGTTGTGTCACAGTACAAAAATCTTGACTCCATTACCAATACTCATTCATTTACTGCTAATTTCGAAATGCGTTTGGACTGGAGGTATGGAACAAATGTTACTGCTTATCAAACATTGTTTCCTGAAAATTTTAATGCACAAAGTTTCCAGATTTATATATTCTTCAATAAATTATTTTCAAAATGAAATGAAAAAAGAAAGGCGAGGGAAGCCTACAGTTTATATTCTGGGTGAATAGCTTTCAGTATCTTCCAGGTGGGGGCAACAGTAAGTCAGTTTTGAGAAGAGAAGGGAGAATGGGCTCTTGCAGCTCCCTGAGTCCAGTTACAGAGGAGGAAATGATTTCCTGGTAGTAACGCCGTGAATAAAATAACCACGAGTTCCCAGAAGCCCAGTTTCCAGGACTTCGGGGACTCTGAGAGGCTATGCGTGGCAAGGTTCATGGCCTGGTGCGCCCGCCACCTCTCGGCTTCGCAGGCCAACCGGAGGGCGCACGCGCGCTGCGCACCTGTCGGATAGCGCACAGTTGCGGTCGGTTGGTGTGTCCAGCCGACCCGCTCCCCGCCGCGCCGTGCCCCCAGGGAGTTGACACTACTCTCTGCGCTCCAGCTCACTCGCTTTCCAGGACCGCCGGGAAGCAGGGAAACCTTTCTCCCGTTTACATCTCATTCATTCTTCCTCTGGACAATTCAAATCCATTCACAACTGCTGCAGATGTGTGCGGCGCGCACCTATACCCTTAAACTCTACAGTCGAGGCATCCGAGAAAACCTGCGTCCAGGCGGGGCGGCAGGGGTCCCACTCTCCTTTCCGCCTGTCTTTGCAAATCCTGGGACTCTGAGGCACCGCTGAGCACTCTGGCGAGGATGAGGGTAATGCATGAAGCAGAGGTGGATCTTGCACACCCCCCGGGGAGATGAACTCCCCACCGGCATCCCCGCCTTCTCGATTTTCCAGCGTGGAGGAGGCGAGGCGTGGAAAGCCCGAGAGGCGCGCAAACCAGGCCCCGCAGTGGCGGGGCGACCAGGGGCACCGCAGCGAGGGGCGGAGAAGCTCGAGTTCGCGGAGCCAGAAGCCCCCTCCTCTAAGGCCTCCCGGAGCTGGAGAGGGGGGTGGGGTGGGAGGTCCGGCGTGCGGCCAGCTACGTGTCGCTCCTCCGCGCGCCGCTCGCCGCGGCCGCCCGAGCCCTCGGGCCGCCGCCGCCGCCGCCCCGTCGGGCCGGTACTTGAGCCAACAGATAATCCAAGTGACGACCACCGAGAAGAGCGCCAGGATGCTGGCCACCGACAGGCAGATGGGCCCCACGGGGGAGGGCGACCCTGCCGCCGGGGCCGCGCCAGGGGGCGCCCCGCCGCCGGGGGCTCCCCCGCCGCCTCCACCGCTGTAGTGGTTGACGAAGATGAGGCCGGTGAAGAGCAGCACCACCATGGAGAGGAAGGAGAAGACCACGCACACGCAGCCGGCGGTGAGCGCGGCGCGCTTGCAGTTTTGGCAGCTCTCGTAGGCGGCCGGGGCGCGCAGGCCGGCGCGTGGCCCGCGGGCTGCGAGGTCTTGGGGCAGCGGGTCGTGCGCGGCTCTCAGGGCCAGCGGGAAGGCCTCGGCGAGCTTGGTGTTGCTGGGCAGGCCGTGCACGCGGCTGTCGGGCAGCGGCGTGCGGTGGCGGCACACCGGGCACGCGATGGCGCCGGGAGGGCCGTGCCAGGGCGGCTGGCGCGGCGAGCGCTCCGGCGCGGCGGGGGCGGCGGCGCGGAGCTGCAGCTGGCTGAGGCACTCCTGGCAAAAGGTGTGCAGGCACGCCAGCAGCTTGGGCGCGCGCCGGTCCGCGTCAAAATAGTTGTAGCAGATTTTGCACTCGTAGTCCTCGAGCGGAGGGAGGCCGGGGACCGTCACCGCTGCGCTCCGGGCTCCCGCGTCTCCGTGGTCCCGGGCTCCGGCCGCAGAGTCCCCGGTTCCTGTCGAGTTCCTGGGGCTGCTGGTTGGGCTCTGCTCGCCGCCGCCACTGCCGCTGTCGCTCGCGGGCGCTGCCATGGCATGATGCGCCCCTCATCGGGGGCAAGGTGAGGCGCCTTCCTCCCCCGCCGCCGCCGCGTCGGCTTCAGGCGGGGAGGAGGCGCTTCGGCCTCCCCCTCTTCTGGCCGCTGTTGCCTGGCGGGGGAGGCACCACGGGCTGGGCCGGGCGGGGGCGCAGCGGCGACCGCCTTTCCCCAACTTCCCCAAGATGCGGGCGCCGCGGGCCCTCCCTGTCCTTGCCTCCTCTCTGCCGTCCCCCGGGAGCCTCTCTATGCGGCTCTAACGACCGCTCTGGATATTGGTTTTTGTTGGAATTGAGAGTTGAGGGCGGCTGTGGGGTGGGGCTATGCTGGAGCGGGATTTGGGGTGCGGCTGCTGAAGGATGTGGCGCCTGTGCAGCACCCACTCCTCCCCACACACGGGGAGGCGGTGGGAAACCTGGTCCTGCTTTTCCTTTGCTCCCTCTTGCGCGCTTCCCCCCCCCCCCCTTTATCCTTGGTATTCTCCGTTTATCCTCCTGGGTCTGGGGCTGAGTCCCTGGCGAAGCCTCCTCTCCCCCCACCAGCCAGAGCTCACCGGTGATGTAATGCGGGACCCGCTCAGGGAGGGGAAGCAGCGGCCTCCGTGGCGGCGTCAGCGGCGGTTCCAGTCCCCTAAAATAGTGATCTCATTTCTCCATCATCCCAGGGCGAGAGCCAGCCATCACCAAGCCGTTTACACTTTCCGCTTTTATTAGCAAAAGCCAGGCAGCCCTGCAGCCTTCTTCTCAGGGTGGAAACGGACGGCTGGCCTTTTCCTTTCTCCACTTGCAGGAAATCTGGGAGCTGAGCAGTACCTTTTTTTCCTCCAGAAGCATTGCTTCCTGAGCTTGAAGGAGACGCGGAGACACAGATTCAGCCAGGTCGTGCCGATGTCCAGACGCTGACCGCAGGCAATGGAGGTAGTTATTGTTGGTGCATGGACAGCTACAGAGGCCGAGAGGGGGAATGCCATTGTCAAACTGGCTTACAGAATTCCACGGTCCAGCCTAAGCCTAGCCCCTGGCATCACTCACCCCCTTCCTCCACGTGAACTTTGAACACACAAATGTAGAGAGCCGAAAACTTCATGAGAAGCATGAGCCAGATCTTCCTGCTTTTACTAAAACTAATAGAGGTCAATTTGAGCAGGTTAGCAAGAAGCAGCACTTCCTGTAGGAACGCTCAGTGGAATACAGGAGTGGTGGGTTCTGGAAACCATCAGGGGTGATGTTGGGATACCACTAACCAGAAAGTTCTGTCCCCCTGTTTCTCCAGGTTGCACCTCACCCTATGAAGAGAGACGCCTCCTCGCCAACAAACAAGGGGCCGAGGGTGGTTGTCTGGGGCCCCTGAGCTGGGGATGTTCCCACTTCCTCCGGATTCTGTGCAGAAGACAGCAGGACACCCCGGGGAATATCTGTGGGAAGGAAGAATGAATGGGAAAGAAGCCGAAGGAAAAGAAAGAAGCCACTAACCACCAGTGTACAGGCAAGAGGAGGAATTGTCATAAGTAACTATTACATGTCTATGACATTTGAAAATAAATTTATTTTTTAGTCTATGTGAATAGCGAATATGGTAGATGTCGTAAGTTAATGACCTTCGGTAAAGGTCATTAACAACCACTAGCTTTCCATTTCAAATTTTATCAAATGTGAGTTAGGGTAATCACTTTTCTTTTCTTTCTTTTTTTTTTTGTAAGTATATCATTTTGTGTTAGGGTCTGTGGTGACGGGACATCAGGAGAAAGCCCTAGGCTGGCCTTGAAGTTTTATGAAGTTACACAAACCTACGTACAGTGGAGGAAATTTGGTGCCTGTTCTCTTTCCCTCCTTGAGCTGTGTGATTGTGAAGAGCCTGGAACTGTGGGTTTTATGCACAGTTTCAATCTGGGTTCTTCTACTTTAAGCTTTGATTTTTCCCAGTGCTGAGAAGAGACGTAATGCTGATGTTGGAAAAAATTAAAAACAGGGCAATGGGAGAAGAGGTGCTTATAAACAAGGGGGCCTAGTGTACATTTATGTTTTTTGTCCTTCCCAGTTCCTAGGACATGTGCAGCCTTGACACTGATGAGGAATGAAAAAGAATTCTGGGGGTGACCAGTTAGCTCAGTTGGTTAGAGCGTGGTGCTGATAAACACCAAGGTTGCTGGTTTGATCCCCACATGGACCACTGCGAGCTGTGCCCTCCTTAAAAGAGTCAACTATGCCATCTTAGCATGAAAGCAATGTGTAACCAAAGACCATGGCAGTTCTCCAATAAAGTTAAAAAAAAAAGAATTCTGAAGGTCTGCATGTTTGCATATGGCCCACATTTGGGCAGACATTTGAGATTTTGAGTTTTTATCATGCATTCTCACCACTGAATGGAAGAATTGAGCATGGGGCTACACCAGGCTTTTCCACCTCAGCACTATTGACATCCTGAGCTGGCTAATTCTTTGTTGTGAGTGCTATTCTGTATATTGTCAGATGTTTAGCAACATCCCTGGCCTCTACTCACTTGATGTTAGCAGCAACCCTCCCCCCTGGTGACAACCAAAAATGCCCCCTGGGGGCAAAAGCACTCCTGGTTGAGTATCACAGCTCTACACCAAAGTCACAGAAAAGGTTAAAGTGAAACCAAAAGCAGAAACATCTCCCAACTCTTAACTAGCACAAGCAAAGACAGCATTGCTAGTGAAAGTAATTAGCTGTCAGTATTTCTCCGTAGCTCACAGTACCTTGGATAGCACAGCACCCTCTCTGAGAGGTCTGGGTACTGTTTCTGTTCATGATGCATCCTGTTGATGGTGTCACAGTAAACTCCCAGAATTTGGTTAACAGTGCTGGAATTTCCTCTCTGTGTTTGGGTAGTTTTTTGTAGGGAAGCCCAGCATCTCCAATTATTTTATATCCTGAGACCAGCCACTCATTTTTAGAACTCAATAAAGGTATGTCATATGGGGTTTCCGTCAGTGCCACAAGGAGCCATTCCAGAAGACTGTAAGTTTGTGTGACACAGGCCACAGCCATCGCCCTAATGGACCGGAAGGCCCAGTGCTCACAGTATCCCCTACAGCAGTAGTGGTGACGCTTGGTCATTCACGTGGGAATTAGGTTTTCACTATGGTGAAAGATGTGCTGAAAGAGACCAGAAACAAGGAATTCAACATTCTATTCACAGCACGATCCAAATTGGCTTTACAAGAATCCTGCTCATGCCTTGAATGTATTAGATACTCAGTCTCTGCTGAATCGTTTCTTTTTGAGGACCCAGGTAAAAGGGAGACAGCAATGGTCTCGGGTCATCTCTTGTGTACATTCCCTCCATTGACCATCTAAAGAGAGAGAAAGTTTTAGTTTTAGGGCTGCGTGTCCTGAGTCCACAGGCTAGGTCTGCTCCTTACCCTCTGTGTAGCATTAGATGTGCAACTTAGCTGCTCTATGCCTCGGTTTTCTGAACTGTAAAATAGGAAGAGTAGTTACCATGTAAGTCAGTTATGAGGACTGAACAAGTTGTGCACGTAACACATACAGAAGAGTCCTGACCCCTGTTAACACTCATTGCTGTTTATGTCGGGGTTTCTATTCCTAATCTCAAAATTCTCACAAGCACCGTGTCAGAGAGGCCCAGAGGGGTTATATAACCAGCCCAAAGTGCTACAGCCCACAGTGGCAGAGTGGTCCAACGGTTCCATCATTTCAAAGATAGAGATACAGGTAACGTCTCACTCAGAAACACAAGCAGGAGGCCTGAACCTATGAATCTAACACGCATTATTCATCTGTCAGTTTTAATGAGCCCCAGTATAAAATATGAGGACAAAGTGAAATGTCATTGGCGGTATTGGAAGAATAGATGTATAGGCAGATAAAGCCACTCAGAAGCAAGTAGTAAATGAGTCAATCAAACAGTTGACATTTAAAAAAATAGGAACTGGCTTGGTTCAATTCGACACTTACTAAGGTCCTATTCTGGAAGGCATTACTGCTGTGTGATAAGATACCTGGCTTCCAGAAAGCAAGCGTTTAAAAGAGGATATTAAATACGTATGCATGCAAAACTTGGAGGCAGAATAAGGCAGGTTTGTGGTCCAGGGATAAGATCTGGTGGGAATAGGGAGGAGACAGAAGTTTCAGATGCAGGAAGTTTCTGCAGAGTCATTGCTAGTGAATTGGGGGTTTAAAAAGATATAGAGAGAACGACATTCAAGGCGGCAGCAGGAAAAAGCGGGTGTGTTGAGGGCATGGCAAGTGGCCTGCTTCAGATAGAGCACAGGGTGTGTAGGATGCTGTCCTGGGAAGCTGGGGATGCCATGCTAGTAGGGTTGGGCTTAATCTGTAGACTGCTGGATCTTCCACCTCAGTGCATGGCAGGCGTGCCCGTGGTGGACTGAGCTTCAGAGCGGTGAGTTGGCTAGAGTTGGAATTGACCATCAAGAGGGAGACATATCAATTAAGAGGTTACTTTTGGAGCTAGATCTCATTGCTATATACTGCAAAGATAAAGCTTTTAAAAGAATGAATGTGCTCCTTTAGGGACACAAGCTCTCTCCCCTCGTGGAGAGGTAGCATGGACTACTGTTAAGAACAGACTCTCTGCTGCCAGGCAGCCTGTGCCACTCACTAGCCATGTGGTCCTGGACAAGGTGCTTAGCCTTTCTGCGCCTCGGTTTTCTATTTTCTAAAATGGGAATCATCTCTACTTCATCAGGTTGTTGTGCAGTTAAAGTGAGTCAACATATATTAGGCTTCAAACAGTGCTTGATATGTGGTAAGTGCCTTAAAACTGTTGAAAACAAAACAAAACAAAAAAGCTACTCAAACAGGCCTAAATTGCTTATTCTATGGAAAATAGTTCTTTATTGTTAAATAAAAATAATTCAGAACAAAACCTATCTTAACTAGGGGATTAAAGTTAAACAGTGACAGCTCAAGTTGGACGCACTTACCCTTGATACAGTGTGTTCAGCATGGTACTCTCTGTGATGTTCGTCTCCAAAACCCATGATCCCAGTCTTATCATGGCAAAAACATTTGACAAATCCCAATAGAGGGACATTCTACAAAATACCTGACCAGTACCCCTCAAGACTGTCAAGGTCATCAGAAACAGGGAAAGTTTGAGAAACTGTCACGTCCAAGAAGACCTTAAAAAGACAGGACGACTTATGTGATGTGATATCCTGGATAGGAAACTAGAACAACCACTAAAAAAGGGCATTAGGTAAAAACTAAGGAACTCTGAAGACAGCGTGGACTTTAGTGAATAGTCATGCATCAATACTGGTTCATTAGTATGATAAATGTGGCATATAAATATAACATGTTTGCAATGGGAAACTGGGTGTGGAGTTTACGGGAACTCTGGTGTCTGTGCAATTTTTCTGTAAATCTAAAACTACTCTAAAATAAAAAGTTTATTTTAAAAAATGTGGTCAATTTATGGGGAATTGCAATCACAAGGCCACTAAAATTCCTTGGGATTAAGATATATCTGATCACTGTGCATTTGTATCACTTCAAGTAAGATCCATTAAGCAGATTTGAAAAACCTTTTAAGGAAACATTTGACTTAGTATTTACTGCATTAGGGGACCTTCCTCCTTATTACAATGTGCAGATAATAGTAATTTTAAAAAAATCTATAAAAATAGTGCAACTACCTTAAAGAAAGTTCAGAAAAGAATTTTAAAATCACCCTGTAACCCAATGCTTCAGCATAGCTATTACCATTATTGATTTGTTCTTATAGGCATATGTTTTTACATAGTTGTAATAATAATGCATGTACTTTGCTTCACTTTAATTTGAGTTATTCATTCAAATTACTATTTATGGTGACTACTACTATTTATGGTGACTATTTCTGTGCCAATGTTTTTGAGGTTGGTGATACAAACCAGCCAGTGAACCGAACAAAATTCTTCCCCTAGTATGTGTGTGTGTGTGTGTGTGTGTGTGTGTGTGTGTGAGATAGATGACAAACAGATAAATGAATGTATAATATGATAGGAAGTGAAGAGTACTGTGTGTAGACCATTTAACTGATTTTTGATATTTAGTTAGAGTGAGATGAGAAGCCATCAAAGTATTTTGAGCAGAATCGGATTTAAGTTCCAAAAGAATCACTGTAGCTGCTGTGTGAAGAACAGCTTAGAGGGGACAAATTTAGACGCAGGTAATCTGGGTAGGTGGCTTCGGTTAACAAACCAGAGAGAGAAAGATGCCTTGGATTGGGTGAGATTTCTTGGAGATTTGCTGGTGTGCAGAGCAAGGGGGCCAAGGCTTTTGTCCTGAATCCAAAAACCCCAGCTTCCACTTTTTTTTTTACTCAATAACAATCATTAATAAATACATAATAGAGGTGGCCGGGTGACTCGGTTAGAACACATGCTGTGAACAACAAGTTTGCCGGTTCAATTCCCGCATGAGATGGTAGGCTGCTCCCCCCTCAACTAGGTTGAAAATGGCGACTGGGCTTGGAGCTGGGCTGCACCCTCCACAACTAGCTTGTAGGACAACAACTTAACTTGGAGCTGATGGGTCCTGGAAAAACACACTGTTCCCCAATAAAATTCAAAAAAATACATAAGTATTTTTCCATAATATTAAAAATTTTTACAACCAGGGCGTTCTTCATTTCCTTGTCTAAATATCACATCAGTGACTCTTTCTCTGACCACCCATTCTAAAATTGCAGCCTCCTCCCTACCTCCTGTCCCTGTTTCCCTGCTGTGTTTTATTCCATAGCTGCATAATTGGTGGGGACTGGTACAAATTTAAAATGTGGAGCCCTTGTTAAAAAATTATTAAGAATTTTAAGAAGGTTGCCGGAGAGCATTCAAGCAAGTGCAAGGCCCTCTGAGTGCAGGGCCCAGTATTAATAGAAAGCCCCTGAAGCCTGCCTTGCATACACGTGTCATACGTTTAATTAACTTGTTCGTTTCCTGTCTATCTCTCCTCATATTCATGTAAGTCTATGGACAGCAGGGGTTTTTGTGTTTTATTCCCTGCCATATCCCCAAAGCCTAGAATAGTACCTAGCATATATTAGACACTCAATAATTTTTGAATAAATGGTTTTAAATGGCTGTTTAACATTTTCTCCATGTATTCTACCATAATTCTCTTAAGCATTCTTCCATCAATGGATATCTGGGTAGAATATTTTGCTGCTATAGGTCATGTGGCAATTCAAATCATCATATCATCTTTTCCATATTTTGGATTAGTTCTCTAAGATTGAGTCTCAGAAGTGGAATTTTTGTAAGCTGTTGTCCTCAAGAACTGTAATCTGCAAAATTGTGTTGGCCAGATGTCTTTACATCATGTTAAGCATTAATTATCCTTTGACAATTTGAGTTTTTACTTAGGAACACATTGTATCACCCGGAAAATGCTTTTATTCTGTTAACATTCATGTTTATGAAGGAATAATTTTTTAATGTATTTTTTTCTCTTCAAGAATTTCATGTGACATATTGAAACGATTTTTTTTTCTATTGCTTGTTTTGTTTCAGTGAGATATAAGTAAGGAAAGAATAATTCGGTCAATTTTATACTTAACACAAACTCATCCCAGTTCCTCATATGTTTTCTTGGACTTTGAGTGTTTTAATACCCTGTCACTACTTTCTGTTTCTCTGCTTGAACTGTAGTTTATACAAGAAAATACATGGCTTTTGTGCTCCCCAGGGGCCCTTGGGAGTTGCTTTGGACAATTTTCAGCTCTCTATAAGCATAATTACTAGAGGTGCCCACCAAGAGAGAAAAGCCAGAGGCGCCCGTGGTTGGTAATCCTTTGTATTTGTCATTACTTATGTAAACCTCTGGAGTGTTTAATGCCCCAGAGCTTCCCCAGCTGGCAGATTGATTGGTACTATGGTTGGTTCTTGTGTCAGCTGGCAGTCACCAAGGCTTGTCCACGGTCTACATTCCAGAGCTAACTAAACAGAATCAAGTCTCAACCAGATGGGAGTTAGGTAAGAGCATCACAAACTCTTGTGTCTTAAATTTTTTTAAAGGTTTTATGGGGAATTGGGGAAGGGAAGAGTGTTGGGGAATCGGGGAAGGGGAACAGACAAGTTGCTGGTCCTTTTGTTCTTCAGTCTAGTGTGGAGGATGTTGCTTCACTGGACCATGTTGATATTATGATCATTGTGCTCTTCCCGGGTGAGGCAGATTGGTCACTGGCCTCTGGGCGGCTACTCACAGCGGCTCTTGGCAGCTCACACTAGCTGCCCGCCGCTCACGCCAGCTTTATAGCAGCCCACTGCAGCCCCACTGCAGCCTACGCCGTCACTGGCGACTCACGGCAGCCCAGCTCCAGGTCAAGCTGTTGTTCACCATCTTAGCTGTAGAGGGCAGTGTCACTGGCCCATGTGGGATCCGAACCGGGGCCCTGCTGCTCAGAGCTGGCGTCCCAAGCCAGCTCTTAACTAACGCGCCACTCAGCCGGCCCCTGTTTTTTTTTTTTATTAAGAAATTTGAAAAATGGCCTTTCTGCTCTTAAATTCACAGATCTTCACAGTAGTATTCTGCAATTCCTTTGTTTTTCTACTCCATTTATGATGAGAGTGCTAACATAGAATGTAAAGGTCCAAATCGCTCACCCAGGGCCACAGGGTAAATTTAGCTAAAATCAAAAGCTGTATGCCTTTTGAGGACGCTAGGGGAAAATTCATTTTCTTGTCTTTTCCAGCCCCTAGAGGCAGTCTGCACTCCCGGGCTTGTGGCCACATCACTCCAAGCTCACATCTCCTCTCTCTGACTCTGGCCTTCCTGCTTCCCTCTTATAAGGACCCTGTGATTACGTTGGGCCCGTTGGATAATCCAGGATATGCTCCCCATCTCAAGACCTATAACTTAATCACATCTGCAAAGTCCTTTTTGCAGGCATATGAGGTAAGATAGTCATAGGTTCTTGGGATTAGGAGGTGGATCTTTAGGGGCCATTTTTCTCTTGACCACATAAGCTCTACAGCCGCAACAAGGCTGCTCACAGTTGGTGACTGGCTCCTACATTGCAGCTGCCCCAGGCCCACTTAGCTGCAAAGGGCCTGAGAGGATCAATATCACCCAATCCTTTATGGGCCACCAATGGGCTGTAGTAAACCAGCTAGACAACTTGACTATAAAATGTATCATCATGTGAAAGCACATTTCTTGCCGGCCCCTGCGTTTATTTTCCTGACAACGTCCTGCTGCAGCCAGTCTCCTGTGCTGCCTGGAGTGCTGAGGAAATAACACCCCCAGGAGCAGCCTGCAAGCAAAGACTAATGGGAGTGGGTGCGTACCCCAGCTCCCTCGCCCCTCCAGCGGAGATAATTCTGAGGCATGTGCTCTCTCCCTGCTCTCAGTTTCCCCAGCAGAATTTAGCTCCAGACACTCGCAGTGGTAGCTGGGTTGACAGGACACCCTTTACTGGCTGTTTTCCCTTCCTTGCTTCCTGTTTCTGTTCCCCTACTGGTGTTTCCTTGGGATCACCTCTTATCTCAGGGTCTGTTTCTGGGGGAACACAAGTTAAAATCTGGGGAAATGCTTTGAAAGGAAAGGGGAGTAGGAAAAGAATGTTTAGACACATGTACAAAGATTTTTCTGTTGAACGCCTCTTGAAGTAAAAACTGGGGGGGGGGTGTAACAGTAACCCATAGACTTATTTCAGGGAATTCCAGGTCCTGAAGGCTTGTGTTTCACTTCCAAGGTGTATCCTGGGTATTGAGGCAAAAAAGCATTAATAAAAGTGAGCCTAAAGGGGGATTGCCCAGGCCTGCATCCCCTCCCCGGGAACATCCCAGGCTCATTCCCTAGAAATAACTCAAGCTGTCCAAACACTCCTAAAAAGAGGAGATAAGACCCAACTGGTATTAACTGGTTCCTCACATGTGTGCAAACTGCTGAAACCTGTCTGTTATTTGAACTCTGGTTTATTATAATACAATTAAAATGAAATGAACAGTAAGGCTTGCTCCCCCATGGGCTTTTCTGTATGCATTCTGGGTAAGAACATGTACAGAAAGAAACTAGTTCTATAACCAACACAGGACAATCAAATGACCTCAGTCTATCCGTCACCTCTCCTGCTGTAAAGAAATTTACCTACACTTTCCTATATAATAAAAAGCTAACCTAACGTTAGGTGCGGTTGTTTGCCCCAGCAACTTACTTCTATGCTGGTGTTTTCCTTCTTAAATAAACTTTCCTTAATGTCTTACTTTTTGAGGCTGTGAATTCCTTCACCTTTTGCGAACGACCAGGGGTTGATTCCAATGACACAACACTGGGTAGATCTCAAGCTCCGCAGACCCAGAATATGGTTAACAATGGTGATAGGGCCGAAACATGTGGACAGAATCGGACACAGCTGGTTCCACTGCCCAGTGTGGCGTCTCCGATGTGTTCAAGTCCCCAGGAGAGCGCCCAATACTTCCCCAGCCCTGAGTGGGGAGTGGAGTGTGTGAGAGCCCAGGGGAAGGTCATGGTTGGGAGAGGGAGGAGGTAGATGGACCTGAAGGCAGAAGCCATGGCAGCACATTAGGTGCACCAGGGACCATTGTGGGGCGAGGGCCACCTGAGCAGAGGCCAGCAAGGACCCCCTGGCTCCTCCGCACCTCCCGCCTCTGCTTTCTTTGAACTCAGATGCTATTCAGAGTGAAAGGCAGCAAAAGAGGAAGAGGGCCACATGCTGAACTGACTGAGCAGCACCCTCCACCCCCCAAAGGTAATTTTTACACTGGAAGAGAAGTGACTGAATTGTTAGCAAAATTAAGTTTGTTCTTTTGCTGTTATTCAGATCAATGGGGGTGGAGCTTGTAAACCAGGAGCATAAAATTTTGCACCTGCTTTTAGAGAAGGTACTTCACTTCCCATTGTTGGTTTTAACTGTGGTCCACCATTCATGTAGCGCCATGGAAATAGCCCTGGGGGACAATAGGTTAACTGGATAATGCAAACTATAATAACTTACATATGATAAATGGAAAACAACGTATTTTTCAGTCTTTGCACATGTGTGTGTGCATGTACACACGCATATCCACACACGTCATGCCTCCCTGAGCTGCTATGCTCTTATAGCTTCAACGAAGTGGGAAGGTAAGTACTACCTTGGAAAAGAGAAGCACCTATGAGGAGCACAGGTAAACCTAGCCCCACCTGGGAGGGGTCTGCAGGGAGAAGGGAGAAGGCGAGCAAGGAGTCAGACAGGTGTGTCCTGGCTCTGGCCAGGTGAGTTGGAGCCCCAGAACTTATTAGGTGATATGAAAGAATTCCTGTTGATTTTGTTATAATAGCAGTGGGGTTACGAAAAAAGTTCTTATCTGCTATAAATGTATACTGAAGTATTACAGGAGAAAGTGTGTGATATCTTGAATATGTTTTAATATCCAGCAAAAATAAATATATGTAAATAAACATTTTAAAAGTGGACGGATTAAAGGAGTTACATTGCTGCAATGTATGAAAATTGTTGAAGCCAGATGATAAGTGTTCATTACACGATTTCCTTACTTTTGTGATATTTGAAAATGTTCATATCAGTTGTTAATCTTAGAGACAGACTCAAAATGATCATTCTTACAAAAATAGCAGTAATAATGCTCAGACTTTTGAAGGTCTCACTAAGCACTTTAGTTGTGAGGGACTGGAGAGAATGATCTTGGATTCAGGTCTTTTGTTCGTTTTTTTTTCGTTGCTCTTTTCTTCTCAGACTTCCTTAGGAAATCAAGAAAGAGCTAACAGGGGCAGAGAACCCAGGTGTCATCTGTGGAAACAGGGAGGAAAGTCAGGCCTCTCAGAGCTCACTGCCTAGTGCACGTCCCAGGAGTCATTCTGTCCTTTATCCTCAGGTGCTGCTCAGGCCTCAGAGCCCAGAGCCCTACTCTTATCATTCTAGACACCTGTGAGTCTTCACTCCACAGCCTGGACTGAGTGGATCAAGGGAGATGAATAGCATATACAGGAGATTATCGATTCATGCTAAATGAGCAGAATGGAAAAACAGGAGCTTCCTCTGCAGTGGCTTTCAATACCTGCTTCTTTTGTATTCATGATCTGTGATGCTTTCTGTTGCTCAGATATTTTCAAAGTTTCAGAGATGCAGGTCTTGGAGGTGGGGCCTCTCCTCACCTGGGAAAGTCTATGAGGCTAAAATTGCCCCACCTTACCCTCAAGGAACCATTCAAGAGATTATGGTGTACATGCCCACCCGTGGCAGGCTCAATTCTCAAATAGCTTTGCCCTCCTCCTATCATTTGATACCCTTTGCGCGGCAAAGTCAGGGTTAACCGGACATGCATGCAATCTGCTTTTCTCCAAAAGGTCTTCCTGCAGCCTGGGACCCTTTTAGTCAAGTCTATATGGTTGATAGAAAAAAAAAATGTTTCCCTTTTCTAAGTTTGCTCTTTGGTTAGAGTATATATATATAATAAACAACTATTTAACTAGGTAGAAAATGTGTTTTAAAGCTGAAAAAGCTTTTTCTCTTTGAGCAATGAATCTTGTCTTTGAAAGACAAAACAAAGGTGCAGCTTTTCAAATTCAAAAATAAAGCAGCTTCTTGGATTGCACAAATAGTAGTAAAAGAAGCTGTACTTGGGGGCCGGCAAAGTGGCACGTCAGTTAAGAGTTGGCTTGGGATGCCAGCTCTGAGCAGCAAGGCCCCAGTTTGGATCCCACATGAGGGCCAGTGACGCTGCACCCTCTACATCTAAGATGGTGAACAACAGCTCAACCTGGAGCTGGGTTGCCGTGAGTCGCCAGCGATGGCGTAGGCTGCAGCCCCTGCTGCAGTGGGCTGCTGTGAGCTGCCGTGAGCCGGCGTGAGTGGCCATCCAGTGGCCGGCGAGCGACTGCCTCACCCGGGAAGAGTGCTATGATAATACCAACATGGGCCAGTGAAGCAACGTCCTCCACAACTAGACTGAAGAACAGAAGGACAGCAACTAGTCTGTTCCCCTTCCCTGATTCCCTAATGCTATTCCCGTCCCCCAATTCCCCAATAAAATCTTTTTTAAAAAGCTGTACTTGTATTGCATTTCTTACTATTTTTTTGTTCTGATGTTTCTATTACAGTAATGAATCTCCAAACGCTGAAGGCTGCCTGGATGTTGTGAAATATTAAAGACACTTGAGTTCCCAACCTAACACCAGGGATTTTCTCAACCTCTAGAGAGAATGAAGGCCAAAGACAGGGTAAGTCTATACATGCAATATTTAATCACACCTTCGACTGGAAGAAGAGGTATTGTAGGTCCGCATGGGCTGTGCGCAGTGAGAAGATGGCTCAGCCTCCAAGATGCTGGGGTCTTGGATGCTTTGCAAAGGTCTGAGTAGTGAAAGGCTTCCCAGACCCTGCATGGCCAAGCAAGTTTTTGATGGGTTAACGATCAATTGCAAAATTTGAAAGGAAAGAGAATTTCAAATGAAAACATTTCAGGCCCAGTGTGAAATTCTCACTCTTTAGCTTTCTTTTTTTCATACAAATGTGTAATCTATTTATAATCTCTTGAATATGCTGGCTCCAAGGGAAAGGTTTTCAAAGAGCTGCATTTGATTAGAACAAAGATGAACAAAGGTGAACAGAAGGAGAAGTACTAGAAGATCTAGATGTAAATGACCTCAAGTCATCTTTAAATAGCTCCAGGACAGTCACTGTTTTTATTTTTATTTTTTGTAAATTGTGGTAAAAAATACATAACATAAAATTTACTATCTGAACCATTTTTAAGTGTACAGTTCAGTAGCTTTAAGTATATTCACATTGTTGTGAAACATCTCCAAAATTTTTCTTTTTGCAAAACTAAAACTCTGTACCCATTAGACAACGCTCCTTTTCTCCTCCCTCCAGGTCCCGGTAACCACCATCTACTTCCCATTTCTATGCTTTTAAGTACTTTAGACACCTCATACAAATGGAATCAGACAGTGTTGGTCTTTTTGTGACTGGCCCATTTTGCTTAGTATAATGTCCACAGGGTATAATCCATGTTGCAGCATGTGTCAGGATTTCCTTCCTTTTTAAGGATGAATAATATTCCATTATATGTATATACCACATTGTATATCTGTTTATCTGTTGATGGACATCTTGGCTATTGTGAATAAGGCTGCTATGAACATGGGTGTGCAAATACCTCTTTAAGACCCTGCTTTCAATTCTTTCGGCTATATACCCAGAGGTGGCATTGCTAGATCATATGGTAGTTCTTTTTTTTTTTTTAAAGATTTTTATTGGGGAATTGGGGGGATGGGAACAGCTCTGGGGAATTGGGGGAAGGGGAACAGACAAGGTGCTGTCCTTTTGTTCTTCAGTCTAGTTGTGGAGGACGTTGATTCACTGGCCCAAGTTGGCACCATCATTGGGCTCTTCCCGGGAGAGGCAGATCAGTCGCCGGCTTGTAGACGGCCGCTCATGGTGGCTGCTGGCCACTCACGCTGGCTGCTGGCTACACACGGTAGCCCATGGCAACCCACTGCAGCAGGGGCTGCAGCCTAGCCGTCGCCAGCAACTCATGGCAGCCCAGCTCCAGGTCGAGCTGTTGTTCAGCATCTTAGCTGTAGAGGGCAGTGTCACTGGCCCTCATATGTGGGATCTGAACCGGGGCCCTCTGGTGTCCCAAGCCAGCTCTTAACCAATGCGCCACTCGGCCGGCCCAACTTTATTCTCTTATATGTGCATGACCAGTTTTCCCAGCACCAGTTGTTGAAGAGATGTTCTTTCTGCATTGAGTCATTGAGTGGTCTTCATGTCCTTGTCAAAGGTCATTTGACCATATATGTGAGGGTTATTTCTATTGGTTAATTTGTCTGTCTTAATGGCAGTACCACACTGTTTTGATTACTGTGTCTTTGCAATATGTTTTAAAGTCAGTGAGTCCTTCAACTTTGTTCTTTTCCGAAATTGTTTTGGCTATTCAGGGTCCCTTAAGATTCCATATGAGTTTTAGGATGAATTTTTCTATTTCTTCAAAAATTTGCCATTGGGATTTTGATAGGGTTTGCATTGACAGATGCTATTCTTTAATAAATGCAGTGGAGAATCTAAAAAAAAATAAAAGTAGTGAAAGCT